TACAGGGTGAGTTTTTTAAAGTGATCCAATAGCAACTTTTTAATTACACGACTTAGCACCACACTTTAAATTTGAAACTTGCTCAATTTTAAGTTTCACTCAAGAATACGATTTCAGATTTTTTCATTGTGGCCGCCATTTTCCAATATGGCTGCCAACTTTAAAATTTCTTATGGAACGCCCTGTATTTTATTTTGTTTTTAGATTTTACTCTAAAAAATAAAACATTTTTGTTCTTGAGATTTTTTCAATATCTCTAACGGTTAAGGAGCTACGAGGACTTAAAGTTTTCATACAAAGTTGCATGAATTCTAAAGCATGTTTTAAAACAATGTTAGTTTTAAGTGTTGTTACTGTTAATACTTAACAATTTGTCCTCGTAGCTCCTTAACTATTAGAGATATTGAAAAAATGTCAAGAACAAAAATGTTTTATTTTTTAGAGTAAAATCTAAAAACAAAATAAAATACAGGGTGTTCCATAAGAAATTTTAAAGTTGGCAGCCATATTGGAAAATGGCGGCCACAATGAAAAAATCTGAAATCGTATTCTTGAGTGAAACTTAAAACTGAGCAAGTTTCAAATTTAAAGTGAGGTGCTAAGTCCTGTAATTAAAAAGTTAGCTATTGGATCTATTTAAAAAACTCACCCTGTATAGGTAGTTACGCAATTAACCTCTATTTTGTGTTTTCACTTTGAAATTTTTATTTTCGAACTCTTTTATCTCATATTTTTAGGTAATTTCCCATCGAAATACGCTACATATTGTAGGTTAAATGGTAAGATCTAGAACCGGGATAACTATACTTTTTTGTTTTGATCTTCCCAGAGGCCAATAACACATCCACAAATTCAAACATTTCCACACAATCCGTTCAAATCATATAACCACAATTATTTATATTAGTGTACACTAACACGATAAATCAAGTAAAAAAGATTATAATTTTTATGAAATTTGGTAAAATATGGTAAATCTACGTTTATTCTAACGATTTCGTGAACCAGCATGATCGGACTATGGAAACGTAGTTTTATGGGGTAAATACTGTATTGGGTTTCCCATTTTTTACCCTCAACACCAAAAATCTTGCAATTTCGCACCAAACCATTGAGCAGAGCTTGTATTACTGAAATGAAGAAGTGTCAAACTTGTAACTGAATTGATCTAGGTATTCACCTAGAACCCGAATAACACTGTTAGTATGTTATTTATGCTGAAGGAAGATTAGCCTGTTCAGGTGTGATTAATGCAAACATAACTAATCTTCTGATGCTTTATTTCTTTATCATACAAACCTTGACCAACAGTTAAAGAAGTTTCCAGGAACAATATCCATTAACGAATCAAAATATGCTTTCAAAATAATCTCTATACATCCATCAAGACTTCCAAACTTCGAATACAATATTCTTCCATTCTTATTTATTCCTCGGTTTTCAAATTTTGAGTTTCTACACTAATGTCCGTACAAATTGAGTAAAGTAAAACAATCTAAAATCGGTCCCTTGGTTTTACCATAGAGGAGCTAAATGATTATTTTCTACGGGCTTACTGAGCCCTTATCAATCAAATGTGTAATAATGTCAGAGCAACGAATTATCAAAAGATAATCGTCGAAGAAATTACTTTGATTGTATTCCTTATACTGTCAGACAACTTGAAACTGTCAATTTTGATTTTTACTTTGAGTAATTGGTTGATAACTGTTTACTTCTCTATCTACATGTGTCACGGGTAATCTCTAATCAATGTTCCACTGCGGAAAATACCAGATAATAAGACTAGGTAAATATGTTTGTTGCCCCCTTTGGCATAAACAAATTGCTTGATGCGAATATGGCTTGTAATATTACGTTCTAAATCAAAACTTCTGATAAGCGTTCAGCTTGCTATTTTTGAACGATTATTTGTCTCGATTGTTGTTCCCACACAACAGTAAAATATATACAGTACTATTAAAGAATTTATATATATATAAGGCACTGAATATTTATACAGGGTGGCCCAGACCACCCGGCCGACTTATATAGGTAGCTTCAATATGAAAGCAAATAGAATCCTAATTGCAACTGGAACCCCCTATTTTGACCCCAAGGAATTCAGATAAATTATTTTTAAACCCCAAAAAGCACCCCAAAGGATAGATTTGGGGGGGTGGGGGTGGTTTTTGGGAAGTTTTCACATGTAAAGTGGGGTCGTGTTATACCTCATTTCAAAGTTCCTTGAGTCCTGAGTATTTTAATGGAACAAATTTTTAATTATTTTCATCCCTATTTACAAGGTGTTCAAACACGTACAAAAAATACACCTTTGAACTAATTTTCACTGTAAAGAGGTGGAATTTCGTGGGGGGTTCAAATTTTAATAACATTTTAATTGCTAAATGAGCTTTCAAAAAACTCTGGTTTCATCCCTTTTTCTAAATTTTTACTTATTCTACGCATTTTCAAACTTTTTGAAGTTTTAAAAGCTGTCATCTCAAATATTTTAAATAGCAACATGGGTCTATTGATGTAAACGTCTATTAACTTGTAAGTCTGATTTTCAAAATACACTAGAAGTTATTTATTTTTCTTAGTATTTATCTGATTTTTTTAAGATTTCATATTTTTTATTTTATTAAATTTCTTCAAATTGTAATATACATTCTTCAAAACGTTGTCCAACATTTTTGGTGCTTTGAACTCTAAACAAAATGGTACAGCCCCCAATGATGTTAGAATTTTCCATTCAAAAGTTATTGCATCTTTTGCTATTTCCCCCATAAAATATCGTGGCCACTCCCACCACTTCTTTTTATAAGGATCTTTTACAAGCTGATGGAAGAAAGTAATGACACATTTGCTGATACCGTTTATTTATCAGGACACTTATTTATAAGAAGAACCAAAATTAAATGAGTGGAGACGGTTACATTTTACACACAAATACACATGTTAACAAGAAATATGAAGATGAACGCAGTTAAGTGTTAGAAATCGTTGTACCTCTTGAGTTTTGTGTTTTGATTTAGAACTTATCGAGAATTAGCCGTCAAATCAATCAATCACGGACTACAATCATTACAAGATAACGTTAGCACTTGACTGGCTCTTCAACTAATTCCGAATTGATGGATCATCTTCGAATAATCAAAGATAAGGTGTTCCCTTGATAAAATTGGGTTTATTGCAGCAATCACAGGTATTATTGCACTAATAAGTATTAAATTTATTACTTTTTAATTGTAGGTACCTGTGATTGTAGTTTAAAGTTTATAAAAGTTTTTTTTTTAATTACCTTGCACACAATATTCGTGGGCATTTATATTACCAGAAGTACTGATCGTGAGATATGCAACTCATTGTTACATACAGTAGATGTACTAAGTTAAACACATACAACGCCAATTTTTTTTTTCATCGTGTCCAGCAATGAATGTTTGAATATTTATTTTTTGTTTTGAGTAAAAAATCAGCTGTATGCCTAAACTGTCAAAAAGTCCTTTCAAACATAAAATGTCAAAAATAAAAAAAATCTTTCATTTAAATTATTATTTTAAAATATCAAATAAATCACAGCTACTATATGAGTGACAAAAGCTGAATATCTCAATAGTTAATCATTTTTGTTACAAATGATTAAATTCTTGTTTATCATTTAAAACTAGACATATATGAAGTATTCAACAGCAGTAGCAAGTCCTTGTGAAATTTTATCAAAAAAAAAATGAATGACAAAACTAAGATGAATTGAGCAAAAAAGCTTATTTTGATTACTGAAGGAAATTTCGTTTGGTACAGTTTTTTAAATTGGTAGTACATTTCAAATGACTGGTACAAATACGATTTTATTTTGAGCATTTTCTTAGGTCGTCCTAATACAACTAAAAACAAGTATAAAACAATTGTATTATTGCAGATTAAGCTTTGAATTAACTTGTGATCTCTGTCGAATCTACTTTCAGAGACAAGACACCTTCATCTGAAACACGTAAATAATGTTAACGATATACCTATTTTAAATTATATCTAGTCATAAAACACGATTTAATTCTTTAAATATGGATCAAAAGTCTACTTGAGTTTTAGATTGAAACAAATTCTAACTCTTGAAGTAACAATTGCGACACCTTATTAGCAAACTCAACAGTTTTTACTTGAAGTTTTACAGTAATTATTTTGTAAAATAACGCTTTAAATAAAAAATCCAAGAGATTGGAGATAATACACTATATTTAAAAAAAGTTAAGAGTTATTAAAATACAATAATAACCGCGTGCCTTAACATAGAGCAAACAGTACATTCATTTGGGCGGTATCTACCAAAATTACTAAATAATACCCTGCAGAAAACCTGCTAACTAAGCGAATTTTCATTTGCCTGATCGGATTTCCACCAAAATATTTTTACAAATGTTATATTTATTCCTTATTATAATTATATTAGGTTTAGTAAGTAAGGTTTGCTGCTACAAGATACAAGGAATGTGATAAAGTGTTATTTTTATTTAAATGTTAATAGCTTGATAAGTTTACCAAATAAATACATTTACTAAATGTGAACAAAATATGTCCATAGGCAAGTGAACTACAACTGTATATCAATTCTCCATAAGGTTAACATAAGCATTTTTAATTCGTTGTTTTTTTTTATTTCTCTACATATAAAATTTGCCAAAAAGCTAATTAAATGTACAATTAAAAAACTATCCAACCAAAATATCCACACTATTGTAAAACTTATCGTATCATAAACGAAGCTAACATACACAAGGCCTACATAATCTCAAGCTGGGTGAGGAACAATCGGGGAGGGGGCAGGGAGAAAAGTAGGAGTCGGGGAAATGTGTCTACAGTCTACAAGATTAACTAAATGAGCAATTTAGCGGGTGATTTGGGCACCCATCCCACACACTATGGAGGCACTTTAGGCTATAGTGGTCACAAGAATTGAGGGGTGGAACCAGGGCGGAGCCAACTTCGAGGGGGAGGGCGCTAGACTCGCACCGCTCGGGAGATGTCAGTCTATCCCAACCCCAACGCCAAAAAGGTCCCCATGTGCTCGCGTCGCGGGTGCTAAAACCACGTGTGGTGCTAAGGGATTGTTTGTGTGTGTGAAAAAAGGTAAATATTTTAAATTCAGTGGATATGGTCCAGGAGCAGTTTTGCTTCTGTGATAAACCTATAGAGATTCACGGGGTAGACAATCTTAAACATTGATTTTTTTACTATCGTAGGTTATATGAATAATAATTTCACGGGATGGTTTAATCCATTTTATTTTTGTTTAGATTGTTTTATAATACAGTATGCACATTGTATCAGAGCACTGTATACAAATATTTTCTTTAGGGCTATAATATTTTGTTTCACTTGTTTGTTTTTAGTTTGAAACGAATGTTTACTATACTAGTTCTTGCATCGAATCACAGTAAGTAGTATTTAGGATTCTAGATAAATTAACTAAATAGTTTTCATGTAGATATGATCCAAGTTTTAGAAATATACCGGCCTTTTACGTGATTATGAATTATTTTCTGAAAGATATAAACATCAAAAATGCCAAAGAATATTGGTAAATATTTTTGTTTTGAGTTTAGCCAGAGCAATGATAAAACATATAAACGAATAGAAATTAAATTTTTTTCTTTTGAAAATGTTATTAGTTTCAAATTGTTTTAAATTTAAAACTGCAAAGTGAAATGGTGGTGTGTGATATAACGTGATAGTGCTAATTAATTAAAATAATGTAATTAAAAATTCATCTGAATCACATACAGGTTATTATGAGTCTTTTGGTAATCAAAATCAGTAAATTTTTCATTAAAAAATAGCGCCTCTTATTGAGGAGCGTATCAGAGAAACAAGTGTATGTAACTAGTCAACACAATTATCATACCGGTACACAATTTATTCATTCATAAGATTGAAAATGACATTTCGAATATAATACAGTAATATAAGGAAATAAATACATTTTAAATATAATAACTATACGGACATAGCCCAAGCCGCTTTACATTTTGAATACGTTCATTTTCCCAGAAACCCTATCTTTGAGCCTTAAGGATATGTTTAATTTAATTAAAAGATCACAATAAATAGTGTTTATGAATTTTTATTTAAAAGCGTCTAACTGTTTTCCAATTAATTTCAAATGACTTGTGTTTTAAAAAATGTTTAAAAATCGTTTGCCTGCACATTATGTATATTTTATCCTAATAGGTAAATCAAAGGATCACGATAAGATGTATTTTATGGATGTGAATAAAAATATTTCGTCACAAACTGACGTAGCAATAAAACCATATTTTAAGTATATGTGGTTTATTTATCTGTCGTTGTAGCAATAAATGGATTTGATTTGGACAAACATATAATCTCGATTGTTTGTTTTAGTATTGAGAACTTTATTTACATCGTGCTGATAGGCATTGTTACAATTTAAAGTGGAAATGAACCATTTATGGTCGTTTATATAATTTTGATATTTTATTTTAGTAAAAATACAGTGAATGAGGGACCCAATTGAGTTTTTTAAAAGGTCTACTTTCTAAAATTGTTTTTACCGTTTTGAATTATAATATAATTTATTAAGTTTTGTTAAGGAAGTATTTAGATTCATCGTTATCAAAATAGTGCAAAAATAAAATCTTTATAAAGGATACTTTTAAGCCGACGATCGAGGGACGATTCTACTGATATGACCGGCGTGGCGGGATAGATGGTAATACTGTAAATGGTAATACAGCACTATATTTATATAGCCAAGGTAATAAAAAAACCCCTATTTATCAATGCGAAACAATATAATGTATATAAATGTTGAATTGTGCTCAATAATCATAATATCCATTAGCTAAATTATGTAAATACCCGTTTCATTTGCTTACAAATGCGATCACAAAAAAAAATATATTCATTATACATGTTTGACAGCCCATAATTAAATGAATATAGTTTAATTATAAAGATATTTGGAAAAAGTGTAGGTTTTAAGAAAGAGTAGCTTCTTTACTTATTCTCTACCGCTAAGTTGTCCTAACCATTCATTGTACGTATTGTATTATAAATTAAAAGATTAAGTTAAAATATAGGCGTTTCATAAAGGAATTAATACAAATACTTCCGCCGTAGCAAACCTGCAGACTAAGCGAATGCCATTTGCTTAAATGGATTTTCGTAAAAATGTTTCCTTAAAATTGTCAGATCAATATAATAATCTAATGTTTGTTTTCTATTTAAATTACATAAGTTAAATGAGTACTTAGAATAAGCTGCTATAGGGAAGGTATAAAAGTGTGTTTTAGTGGAATTTTAATAGCTAAGGTGAAATAAATACATTTATAAAATAAGATCGAAATATAACTTACTATAATACAAAACTACAGAAGTGTACTATACTTATTCTAAATAAGAATAACATAGGAATTTTTAATTTAGTTCTTAATTTTGTTTACTACTTTGTGTTTTTTTAACGTTTCTCCGTAACTATTAAGCGTACCACAACGCTGCAATATACAAGTTGTTTTGGTTTTTAAGCTCTACAAAAATCATCAGGAAAAAGTTTTGAAATTTTATGTTTTGGGATTAGAAATTAAAAAATCCAGCTTTTACCCTTTCAAACCCTGTTTCCATAGTTCAATCATGCTGGTTTGCGAACTCGTTCGAATAAGCGCATTTATACACGTTTTCATAATTTTTTTTAAATCAGATATTTTTGGTTGAGTTATCGTGCTAACGTACATAAATAAATGTATATGGACGTATCGTGTTTATAGCCTCTGGAGACATGTAAACGAAAAATTTCGGCCCGCTCTAGGTCTTACCAAGAGACCTACGGCAAACTTAAAACCCTAAATACGCTAATATATCAAAAATTTCCAAATAAATTATGAGACTTTAATAGTACGTAAAAATGTATAGGAAAAATTTAAGATTTTAAAACAGTATTGTGTATTTTGTATCTCAAATAATGATGCTTACAATTGTTTAAACAGCTGTGTTGATCGTTGTTGTTAATCTGTGATTTTATCCTTTGGAATTTGTATAGCTTTTATTTCTATGTCTATGGAACTGATTAGCACACACTTCTTACAGGTAATTATTCTTAAATGCGTGGTTTTTCTGTAAATAAACAAACTAAAATAGTTCCTAATCGTAAACTTGTAAACCTGAACGTTTTTGGCGATACGAAAATTAGAAGATGGTGTTACAGTTAACCTCTTGTAATGCTTAGTATACTAAATTATAAAATGCACAATATAAACAAATAATTACTTTCAAAAATAAAACATGAACAATAAAACATCTTCCTCCTGAAATATACGTACACAAGCATATTTTGCCATAGTATAAACCTTACCGCCACGCGACATCCATCCGGTTGGGATCATATTCTTCCATAGTCTGTCGGGATCGGGAACGCCTTGGGGTTGTAAAGTCTGCAAGTAAATATAGAATATCCGTTGTGCAGAGATATTTTGTAACGAAGGACGCTAAGTTTTGACGAGTCAGAGAATTCTTTACACCTTAAACATCCAACTAAATTAAAATTGTTTAGACAATTTGGAAATTTGAGATTGGTTTGGGCTCTTGCGATGGTAAAACCTCACACATTTTTAACGTTAGTTAATATTGCAGGAAAGAATGCAATAAGATTTGAGGTTAGAAAGTTTTGTCCTTCAAGATCGAATCATCTTAAAAATAATAAATAAATAAGTTGAGTCTGTGAAAGATTGTTTCGATGCACTACCAAAAACAGGTAGTCAAATTGTAGCTTGTCCCAAAGCTGGAAGGCTGAAACGCATCCGAAACGTGTGACAGTATTTTCACCAGTTGATAGAAGCAGTCTTTTACTGATGATCAAGCTTTGACAATCTGGAAGCCCAACTTCTAGTTTAAATGGCCTTCATTCAAATTCCCTACGACATGAAATGATTTTCAATAAAACTAATGTAAAACGTAAACTATTGGAATGTTTAAATGCTGCCAAACATACAAACAGTTCGCAGACCCAACTGTATTCTGCTGTGATAGGGAGTTTCAATCATTCTTCACCATGCTCCTGCTCCACCATACAGTCAACGATAAATTTGTACAACTAAAATTTAAATTTCAGCTGGACGGTTTTGTAAGAATTGGAAGAGAGATTGAGATTGTGTCGCAATAAAAATTTCTGAGCTGTAAAAGAATTTATAGTTGAGTAAGACTTTGTTAGCTTAAAGGCTTTTACTTCAACATTATGGGATTGGTGGCCATTATAAATATTTAAAATCTTTGAATTGTTTAAAAAAATATAATTGATGAAGAGCTGCCTTGCTCTGGGTAGGATTAGTTTGTTAAGATGTAACCACAAGCCTTTAAGTAAAACAGTTTTGAACTACGCCAGAAATCAGACGATGGCTTTCTTTCCGATGCTAGAACTAGTGAAATTATCAAAGACTAGAATGTAATGGTTTTATAGTACCAGGTATTGGTATCTGAGTTGGTGATTTTAATCCCGAAGCCTCATTTATATGATCGTTATGATCTTCAATGGACTGAGTTTTCAAAGCTTAATGATTATTTGTTGACAAAATCTTTCAAAAGAAATGCAATCCAATTAATTTAACTAAACTACTTCGAATATATGTTGTCACTCTTCCAACTATAATTCATGGCTGTGAAACTTTCACGAAAATATCACTCAACATTTGGTTTTCTTGACAATCATTCCGGATAGTGATTACCCAGGCAAACAAGAAATCCGGATGAAACACTCGGTTTCACGATGCTACAATTTCCAAAGGCCGATTCCTATAACTTCATCAACGTGTTTACAGCGTGAGTCGGCATCGATGCACATAGCCTAGAATTGTTTAGAGAAGGGAGTACGGCCGATAAGGCCCTAGGGGTTGTCAGTTGATGGGGTAGGGAAAGAGGTTTGTGGTTTTGAAATCAAAAGACATTATTCTGAAAGCCATTGTATTGGGGTCTTATTGGTGTTGCTAATTTTTTCGCATATGGACCAAGTAGGTGGATTGAATGACGCACAATCTGAAAATGTGTATCAATAGATGAAGACGGTATTTTAGACGTTTTTGAGGCATTTAGAAGTTTATTCAGTAGCACGGGGTGTATTTGAGTCTTTAGGGGGCCCTCTAAGAGTTTTTCCAGGTCTGTTGGTTCTTTCTAGCAACTTTTTTGTCCGTGGTTTGTTGTTGTTTATAGGTGTATCCACAGAAAATAATACTTTGGTGTGAAATGCATAACCGGATTAATACCATTAGTGGAGATTAGTCAATGTAAGGTTCTTGCCATTCGCCTTTTGGGTCTGATGATGATTGGAGTGTCCACTTTCCATCTTTTATATATATTTACCGTCTTGTGAGTTAACATTATCAGTGTAAATAATCTACACCTAATAATTATAGCATATCCTAACCTAACCTAAGCTCACCTAAAGGTTAGGATAGGAAGATTTTGTTATTTAAACTAATTAAAATCTTATTTGGAAGTCAATTTATCGGTGTGGTCGGTATAATACCAAAGTACCAATATGTTTTTTTGATTGTTATTAGACGTATTTTTATTTACTTTCCTTGAATTTAAAACAAAATTGTGCGATTTTCCATGTCAACATCGTTTAGCCTAGTGTAAATCTTTTTTATTGTCAAATCGTAAGATTATTTACGCAATCTATACGACAGTGTAGGTCTAGAATAAAGACAAGTGTTTTAAGTAACAATATTAAATAATAAAGCAGTTAATATAATACTAAGCCAACTAATATAATAACTAAGCCAATATAATACATTAGGGTTGAAAATCGGGTAGAAAATAGAACTTTCAGAGCAACCAACGGCTCTCACTAATTGTATAGTATTTGCATTCGATTAAATCCACTATATCATCTTTTATAATAGTTATGCGTTTTTTATCGATAAAATAATTTCTTTGTTCTCATACAAATATTTTTTGATTGTTATTAATTCGGTTCATCCTCTCTAAAACTCATAATAAAGGAGTTAGTGTAAAAGTTATACATTTAAAGCACATTTACTATATAAATTATAAAACAATTGTAATTCAAATCAAAATTATTGGCATGGTTAATATTACTATTGCATATTCACATGTATTACTCTAACTAAAAATCCACTGTTTTTTGTTTACGTCCGTTTGAAAATAAAAATAGCCATAGTTGCGTAAAAGTGTTTGGTTAAAATTGCAATTATAGTCGTTGGGCCATGTAGTGATTGAAATAATGCGTTGGGCGACTGTAATTTACATAGGCTACGGATGTAACTACTGCATTTACATACATTTTCACCCCAAGTAACGTAAACTATCTACTATTTAAAGCGTTAATGTGTTTGCGAACCAGACCAGGAATTTGTTCAATCTTTGCACAACACAAATATATTAAACTATCAAAAGAACAGTAATAATTTGTTTAGGGGCATTTAAGTTAATTTTCTTAAATGTTTCATGACATAAATTAACATATCCCAAATGGTATTTTAAAATTATTAGGTAAATCTGATTAGTTTAAAACATGATATTTCAGAAATATAAATGAGACTAACTAAAGTCTTGGCAGCGTGGGTTCCATGGCTGACTTTAAAACTATTAGGCCTAATTATGTTTAAGTAATTAATGTTTCGTTGTCTTTTGTTATAATGATATGATGTTTAATTCACACCACATTTACGTGATATTGTATTACATGGTAAAAAATAAACAGGGATTTTAAGATATTTTATAAATAACATATAATTTATCGCCTACCTAACTTGTTGGAAATTCGTTTTGTGTATAAAATAATTACGCCTTATATATTATTAATGTATATAATATCTTCATGTAAACACATATGTGAACGACTGATTCGGCACAGATTTTAAATATTACATGTATACAATAGATAAACCATAGAAATAATACTTTCAGCCAGATAAATATTTTTTCCAAAAATATGAAAAAAATTGGCAAAAACTATGAGCGATCTTGGTATGGTAAGGGCAAATAGGTGTCGTGGAAGAGGTGGTCTTAAAAAGTGTTCTATCCTAAAGATCGGTATCCTAACAGCCCTAGTCTTTGTGGTGGTAGTTTAGGATCCTAGAAGTCCTAGACTTGGAAACGGTTGTTTTAGGATCAGTAGGTCTAGGAGCGGCTTAGAAATGGAGGTCCTAAGACAGCTCCTTAGTATAGGTAATTTTAGGATCAGTATCCTAACAGCCCAATTTTAGGAGGAGTGGTTTTAGAAACGGTAACCTAAAAGTCCCAGTTTTAGGAGTGGTAGTTTCAGTATTGGTATTCTAAAAACATTCTCAGGAGTGATGAGAATCATAGTCATGGAGCTATAGTTACGGTACATGACTGACAAAAATAACGGGAGAAGAAGGAACAGTAGGTCTATTGGTCTATTGTGTTCTTCTAAAATGGCTTGGCTCTAAAGCCATCTGTGTCCAAATTATGTAAAAAAGAAATGTATTAAATGAAAAATTTACTGGAACCTAAACTCGTACTTATAACATACCAAGTACAAATTACAGAATACAATATTTTAATGGTAAGTGTATCCAGACTTCAGTCTGGTTGGGATTCAAAACAAACGCTTTGAGAGGGTATGAACGGTTTGTTTTCGTAAGTTATTCCAAGAAAACATTTAAATTCAACCACTAAAAGATTCTACAGCCTAATGTAGTCTCGACTAATCTCTCTGAGCAGGGAATCACAAATGTCTTGGAATATTTTGTAGCGTAAAGCTTATTTTTCCCCCATTATCTTTAAACATAGATAATTATGTTTGATGATTTGGACCAGAATAATCGAATTACTCAGTGACTATTTAATGGCTTTGATTGCTCGTGAATAAAGAAATGTGTGTACTTGGCGTTTCTTCATAGTTTAAGGGTGAGCATTTAAAAGGGATTTATAGTATTTCCCAGGCAAAGACGTTTTGTTTCAATAAAGTTCTTTTGTGTATTATTAGACAAGTACCGTGTCTGTACTTTTTGATCTTAAGAGGCAATAATTTACTCATATTTTTTCCTGTTATAAAGATACCTTTAATTTATATAGCTAGGTTACTAGGCCTTTCAAGATCAAAAAGTAAAACAGGCACGGTTCTAGTCTAATAATACACAAAAGAACTATATTGAAATAAAATTGCTTTGCCTGTGAAATTTCTATAGATCCCTTTTAAATGCTCACCCATGAAATAAGAAGAAACACCAAGCTAAGTTTCAACTTTATGTTTTAAGGATATTGACTTTTGGTGATCAGTTTAGTAGATGTATGGTATCATATTTAGTTTCAGAGGATTTCTCATACGGGGAATTAGCTATTACCATTGGTCTCATAGGACTAGAGTAAAATTCATCCGGTTTTGATTGAATTTTGTGCACACTTGTAAACCTACATCTGTTTGTACGATTTCGCGAACCAGCATCATTAGACTATCAGAGCAGGTTTTCATGGGGTAAAATTGGTTTTCCCCAATTTTTACCCCCAAAACATCAAATTTTACAATTTCTTTCTGAGGTACGTTTTAGAGCTTAAAATCAAATAATTTTGTATATTGAAGCTAGTACAATGAAGAGTTACGAATAAAATATAAAAAAAAACACTTTACATTTAAAATGTTAATGCTATTATCTTATAGAGGATAAAACAAAACTATTTTAGTTTTCTTGGATGTGTATTTTGATTCCTTTATTTCATATGTAGCTATCAACATTTAAAAAAAATACACGCTTTATTACCCTCCCTGTAGCTGCAAACCTAAGTATCCATTACAATATATATTTTTTTAATACAAAATACATCTCATCTGTCAATTTGTTAGAGAATATTTTATCGAAAATCAAACCAGGTTAATGGAAATTCACATAGTCTGCAGGTTAGACATGATGCGGCGGTTGCAAGCACCTAGTTCACAGTACGCAGACTCAACAGTGGAAAATACAAATTAAACATACTTAGATGTTGAATGATGTTAAGTGTTCAACAGCGGGTAATCACAGTGATGGTTTCTGGGCTAAGCTAAAATGTCTGTTGCAAATACCATCTAATCTTTGGAATCCTACATGCCCTTAGCTCATCCTGTATCAGAACACATGACAGTTTCTGTTTAAGCTATAATTTATTTTCATGTTGTTAGCCTCCGTATCACTGGTATGGTAATAAATAATGGTTCAAATACCTAATACTGTCAAAGTGATCCCTAGTAGTCTATAGGCTACTGCAGTTTCATTCCCAAGGGGAACTTCTTCAGAACTTCTTCAGGCTGTGAAGGACATCAAATTTCATTCCAGAGACAGTCTAGACCTGCCCTACGTGCGTATCGTGTTTCCCGGTACCAGGTTTTTGTAATGTTTATTTGTTTTGTTCGTCTGTGATTTGTGTAAATTTGACATTGATGGATTACAACTTTGAAGACTTCTTCTGGAATGAAATTTGATGTTTCTCACAGCCTGAAGAAGTTCCCCTTGGGAAGAAACTGCAGTAGGGCCTAGCCTATAGAATACCAGGGATCACTTCGATAGTATCAGGTATTTAAACCATTATTTATTACTATAATTTATTGATTTTGGCCCTACCTCAGCTGAATGTCTAGCTGTTCCTCATGTTCCAGAGATGAAGAGTTGCGGGTGGTAGCAGAACCACGGGATGTCCACTACCGAGTCTGGAGTCTACGACGAGGTGTCCACGGACTCGAAGGTCGACCTGAGTAGGTCCGGAAGGAACTCGTTCTGCATAGAAGCGCTCCTAGGGCCAAGAGAACCTAGAACAGAAGACAAGAGATCGTCTTCGCCGTACGCCAGCTCTCGCAGTCACAGTCCATCGATATCTCCGGGGTCTGAAGAATGTCCTTATAACCTTCCTTCTAGTCCGTCCGAAACACCTCCACAGTCGCTTTTTAAAAACCAAGGTCGGTCATAAGAGGTTTAGTAATTTAGAAGTGTTGCGGTTTTACTTAGTCTTAAGGTGGGATTTCCTAGCTATACGTATCGGCTGTCGAATACGGCTATGGAACTTTGGACATTGTACGAGTCTTTTAGACATCGAGTTTTGTTTTCCGGATGCAACCGATAAATACCTGTACTTGACTGTTATGTTCGGTTGGTACTGAACTACGTTGAAATTAGCAGCTAGGGAAATCCACCCTTAAAGTGTGCTTCCATACTACTACTTGATTTAACTATCATTACTTATTTCACGATTTTTAAATTTCAAAGTGACTGACAGAGACTGAGCAAATTCAAAAACTATTTACAGTCAGTAACTATGTATCCCTTAGTTTACAACTGAAGTCGTTCTAGCACAATGAATTCTGGCTCCCGTTTAAGTTAGACGACTAGAACATTGTGGTACTTTGGTTTTATACAGACCACACCTAATAATTATAATTAAAATCTTATTTGGAAGTTGGTGTTTCAGTGTGGTCGGTATAATACAAAAGTACCCATTATGTTTCTTGAAACGTCATTTATACATGAAGGATCATGTTGCGTATATTTAGGTAAATCTTTTTAAAGCTAAATTGAGAGCTTTTATGACTGTAAAGTAACTTGTGACTTTCATATTCTTTGAGCTATATTTTCCTAGTTATGTTGGTATAGTTAATTTGTTTATCTATTAAGCTCGTTTTACATCCTTCTATGTTTTTTAGTAGGTAGTGAGTCATAGTATCTAGAAGGATTAATATAAAGGATAGCGGGTGGAGTAAGAAAGACAAAAGATTGTTTATAGTACTAAAAACATTCCAATAATATTTCTGTTGTTTTATTTGTACAAAAGTAGGAATTCAAAATGCTAAACAAATATGCACAAAGCAGGAGATGAAGAAGGCCATGGCGAAAATCTTTAGGAACTTCTAGTAGAAAACTAGAATGAATAATTTGCACACTCGGAAACGATCACCTAATTCTGATCCTTTACACGCCCTTTAATAATTGGATTGGTCGCCTTAAGACTCAGAGAAAATTCAGAAATTCAGATAAAAATGTCCATTAATAAGAATTATTTTGTTGGATCTAGGTCTTTGGGTGATGACCGCGTCGTTAAATGAGTAAGACGTTGATGGCCGACCTTTCAGATGCGTAGCAGCTGTCCATCTTCGGGGAAACTACTATTCCCCGACCAATAAACCAAGTTCAGCTGAATAGTAGTTTCCCCGAAGATGGACAGCTGCTACGCATCTGAAAGGTCGGCCATCAACGTCTTACTCATTCAACGACGCGGTCTTTACCCGAAGACATAGATTAGACAATCTACTGTGACCGTGGAGGCCTATCCTTATCATCTAGATTAAGAATTATTTTGACAATCTGTACGTTTCAGGTGTAGGTATGGTGCCTCGACCTGGTATGTTATCCATACTACCTCAGCTAGGAGGACCAGAGCACGTGTATGGTGCCTACCCCGCATCCTCAGCATTTCAACCCCTAGGGCAGCGGACGGACCCGAAGAGTCCAACTGCGCCACTCACGCAAGGCCAGTTGCACCAGATGCATCTCGAATGGCTGGCGAGAGCTGGCATGTTCTATGCAGGACCTCGCTTACAAGATCTCACAGGTAACTAAAATATTTTTTTATTCCTCTTTTTTCTAGCACGGAATTGTTTTCCATATTATTCAGGTTAGGTCTTAAGGAAGTTGCGACATTGTTTTTAGATAAAATCCATTGGTGATTGGTGAGTTTTGAACTCAGGACCTCAAATCTGTAATACTTTTTGTAACAAGAGGCAAAATTGTGTTGCCTCAAAGTGGAACTGTTGGGGATTTTTTACAACAATAGTACTTTGGCAACTGCATACAAAAAAAAATAAGCGCACAAACTGGCACTTTTCTCAGGTAAGGGGTACTATTATTTTGTCCAGAAAAAGGCCCTCCCTCGCAAAGAACTTTTTGGACGTCTAAACTCTATATTCTATTTCGAAAACGTGTAAAACATACTTATTTGTTTCTACAACTCTTATGTGGATTTGTGACCGATCGATAGTTCATAGAAAATCGGTACTAGGGTAAAAAGAAGAGTCTCGTATTCAATATTAATAAACGATGTAGGTAAACAATAACTGTATATCATAAAAATATGACGATTGAAATAGCAACTACATAATAGACCGTAATCGCATATCCCTTCTAAATTCAATAATGTTTTTAGTTATTTTCTGTATTGGTTGACCGTGTCTGTATGTACTGACACATAGGCCGCTATATTCGACACGTTTCTAACCAATATTTCTAATAGATAATGAATTTCGTGATAATTTATTTCAATTAGTTTTTCTTTTGTTTATGTAGGCCCTAGTACGATGCCCACTTTAATAATGACTGCACGTAAACGACATATTTTTTAAACATATTTAACTGTTTTAAACCTTCTAGAGGTAAGTTGATTTTTAATCTTCCTTGTATATATACCAAGGGCACCCATGTTTTAAACCAAATATTTCATGTGGTCCATGGTCCATTTACATGAACGTAATTTTGGTGAATTGACTTTAGGTATTTATTAAAGAGAAATTGTAGATATATACCTATATATATATCAGAGATTTCGAGCCGTATTTGAGTATTAACGTGACCAATTAGTAGCACACGGTTAATTTCGATCTTAATCTGAATGCTTTGAAGAATTAATTTTTCAAAATTTTCTCATTCTAGGTATAGAACCTTGAAAATCCACATTAAAAACCAAATACTATATTATCACTCCTACAAATCCACAACCACAAAACTTGCAGGTAATCAGATTAAAGCTGTTTTTCTGAAAGCGACCATTCGAAGATAAATACCATGCAGGACCTCCTTCATGAAATATTGATAATTCTGGCGTCCCCATCCTCGGATTAATCCTGTAGCCAGACTTTACAAGAAGGGCCACTACGAGATTAAGTGAGGGACATTTTATTTTCGTAATGCCCCTTGTTGGCTTTATCCCCTTGTAAGGGGCTTAACCACGGCATGTTGCTCAGCCCCGGGCAACAATCGTCATTGGCGATACAAGATTAAACCGACTGTAAACTATCGGCCGGAGTAGTCTATGGAAATTGATTTTCCTTCGATGTTAGGTTGAAATATTCTGAAAGTACATGAAAACACGTTTAATACATCTACAACATATATATTTACATATATATTTTTGACTCACTAGACGTTAAATATATAAAAGATGGTATGTGGAAATCGATTTCGTATTGGACACTCCGTTTTCTACAATGCTCATTTTCATGCTTTGAATAGCTCAATCCCAACAATGAATTTGAAACTTAGCAAATCCAAACAATTGTTAGAAATAAGCACACTGTCAGTATATCCACAGACTAAGTCAATAAATTTCTCATGAACTCATGTGCCAAATAGGTATTCATTTTTAATAAATCTGCTTCTTCAATGAATCTTTTTTCGGTATGCATTTCGCCATTAACAATGGGACTTTTTTCGTTATGTATAGTATATGCCTATTACCAGTGGGTCTTATTCGCTATGTGTATCCCCAATACCAATGGGACATTATGTGTGTATATCCCCATTACCAATGGGAATTTTTCGCTATGTATATCTTCTTTATAAGCGGGTCTTTTACTCTAACATATCCCTATTACCCATGGGTCTCTTTTGTAATTACTTATAATGAGCACATTGGGTCTTTAATGTTTAATGCATCCACATGAACAGTGTATCTTTATTTTTAATGATTCTAATCCTCGGTGGTTTTATTTTTGAAGTATTACCGCTCAAGTGGGTCTTTATATCTAAAAACCCCGTATCCCCATTCTCCAGTGAAATGAATTTGTAGTCTAATGAATCTTTGCCTAGTGTATCTTCAATTTGTAAAGACTTCACATCCCCAGTGGGTATTTGTAATGAATCTTTGCTTAGTGGATCTTTAATTTGTAAAGACTTCACATCTCTAATGTGTATTTGTAATCACTTTACCTACATTATCTTTATTTTCTAAAGATGATCTAGATATTCCCAGTTTATATATATGTATAATTATCCTTCGCCTAGTCGAGCTTTAATTTGTAAAGACTTCACATCCCCAGTGGGTATTTGTAATGAATCTTTGCCTAGTGTATCTTCAATTTGTAAAGACTTCACTTCACCAGTGGGTATTTGTAATGAATCTTTGCTTAGTGGATCTTTAATTTGTAAAGACTTCACTCTAATGTGTATTTGTAATCACTTTACCTACATCATCTTTATTTTCTAAAGATTATCTAGATATTCCCAGTTTATATATTTGTATAATTATTCTTCGCCTAGTCGAGCTTTAATTTGTAAAGACTTCACATCCCCAGTGGGTATTTGTAATGAATCTTCGCTTAGTGTATCTTCAATTTGTAAAGACTTCAAATCCCCAGTGGGTATTAGTAATGAATCTTCGCCTAGTGGATCTTCAATTTGTAAATACTTCACATCACCAGTGGGTATTTGTAATGAATCTTTGCCTAGTGGATCTTCAATTTGTAAAGACTTCACATCCCCATTGGGTATTTGTAATGTATTTTTGCCTAGTGGATCTTCAATTTGTAAAGACTTCACATCCCCATTGGGTATTTGTAATTTATATTTGCCTAGTGGATCTTCAATTTGTAAATACTTCACATCACCAGTGGGTATTTGTAATGAATCTTTGCCTAGTGGATCTTCAATTTGTAAATACTTCACATCACCAGTGGGTATTTGTAATGAATCTTTGCCTAGTGGATCTTCAATTTGTAAAGACTTCACATCCCCATTGGGTATTTGTAATGTATTTTTGCCTAGTGGATCTTCAATTTGTAAAGACTTCGCATCCCCAGTGGGTATTTGTAATGAATCTTTGCCTAGTGTATCTTCAATTTGTAAAGACTTCACATCCCCAGTGTGTATTTGTAATGAATTTTCGCCAAGTGGGTCTTTAATTTGTAAAGACTTCGCATCCCCAGTGGGTATTTGTAATGAATCTTCGCCTAGTGGATCTTTAATCTGTAAAGACTTCACATCTCTAATGTGTATTTGTAATGACTTTACCTACATAATCTTTATTTTCTAAAGATGATCTAGATATTCCCAGTTTTTTAATATTTATAATTATCCTTCGCCTAGTCGAGCTTTAGTTTGTAAAGACTTCACATCCCCTGTGGGTATTTATATTTAATCACTCTATAGCCCCAGGACAAAATACCTGAAAAGAATTAGTAGTTCCATTGGATATCCAACACACAATTTAGAAGATGGTTGGAGACTACTAGACCTAGGCGTGACTTGTGATGTTTGCACCTGTAATGTATTCTTAGCCACGGACCCAAAACACTATCATAGTCATCGTCTGTCATCCGCCGTCCTTTCCTTTGTTGTACACCTCACTTTCAGAACATTATGTCATATGTTTGACACTTGTAAATGAAAACTGACCAGCTTAAATGATGCAGTACCAAATATAATCATGTAAGATAACATGTGTTTGTAATAAGATTAGTGAGTTTTAGTCAGGGTATGTATATTACATAAATATTATTTTAAATCAGCTGTTTGTACTACAAAATGTTTCGTTTTTCAAAACTTTGCTGTTTATAGTGTCTAAGCATTTTTTCTGAGGTTTGACAAATTAATTCCTTTTTCCCCGTTTGGTAAAAAAGTTTTATTCAAAACTATACTTCAAAATTACTCTCCTAACTAAATATTCTCCTTATGAAATACAAAAAGTAACACTAATGGATGACTAAAATTACATATTCAAACTATCAAATCTGATTTTCGATAGTTTCCTATATGAGTCTACAGGCAAGCTTACAACAAAATTGTATAAGAGAGATATTTCTGGATTTGTGTTTTCCCTTCATGAGAGCAAACACCAAACAAATTGATACTGGATGAAAGCAAATATCCCATAAAATGAGAGCTACTTTTCATACTATTCTTGTTGAAAAAATATTATTCATCATACATTGATCAAATAAATTTAACCTTATGTATCTTGTTACTTTACATATTTGAATTGAAATCCTAACTCAAAATATACCTCGGTACAATTTTTTATTGTAAAAAACAATTATTGCAATCCAGGTCTGTACATTAATTAAAAGTACACGGATCACTAACGATTCCAAACACAAATATACTAATTTGCTTGAAAAATCGGACCGAGTTGAAATTCCGTAATTAAGTTTCCATTAAGCTAATCCACCCGTAGCCATTTACTGTTTGTTTTGTAACAAAACATTTTTGTAATCCCCCTCGCGGATCTGAAGGCTAATCTTATTACACCTAGTTGGTGATTGGGGATTGTTTGTTCACATCTTTCACGGACGTTCGCGCAAAGCCAATCATTGTCCTGTATAGATCCGCTAAAAATAAACACTAATTAGAGCGAAACAAAGCAATCAGGCTTTGATCAATGGACACCTTGGTGCATTGATTGACCGATGTGTTACTGTTCTATTGTCACCTAGGCTAGGGTTGGTGTGGCACTCATCAATTACGCACCCTTAGTGACAAACCTTGGCCCTTTAAACCCTCTTTGTAGGTATTTAAACAAGTAAACGGCTTAGTTAATGTTCACTAGAACAATACAGCCGATTT